TATGACCACAGGGAACCCAGGCTCAGCACTTGTGCTACTTTCACGGCCAAGTTAATGTATTGCGTGGTGCGCGGTTCGAGCCCAAATAAATTACCCTGTTTAAGACACTGGCTGTGTATTGTCAAACTACTCAATGTTTGACTCATATATAGAAATGCCAAGAATCATGAAGAAGCCTTACCTTCCTGCAAGGTCTCGTAGTTTCTGGTTTTTCTCGCGTTTTTCTAGTATCATGGCAGGGGTATCGTCTTGTGTCGTTCCGAAAGTCACAATGCCGTTATGTAGCTGATACAGGGGGGGTTGGTCTCCTTCGCGTCTTTTCTCAGGTGGCATGATATCTCGAGGATTAACCTGTACATCACAAGGGCAGGACCATTATATTTTGTATTGATAGTGGTATTGGTAATGGAGATTTTGAAGAAAAGGAAAAAAGCAAAATAAAATAAAATTCTAGTTACCTGATTCCACTGTAGTTGTTTGCGGAATGTTATCGCTTTTTTCTCTTCCCGTCGTTTTAAAATCAAGCTAAAGAGAAAAGGGTATATAAGGCCAACAGCATTTTTGAAAGAGATCTCAGTATTAGCGTACCCAAGAATCTTTTTCCTGCAATTCTGTTGTATTGTGTTGATAGCTTTAGTTCCCCATTCAGCAGCTTCACCTTCGCTGTCAAAAGCCAGGTTGATGCCCGTTCGTAACGAGTTGATCTGAGAAAGTAATTATTATAATTTTTTCATATTAAATCAATCAATCAATCAATCATATCAATCAATCAAACTATCAATCAATCAATCAATCAAACTATCAATCAATCAGAAAAACTATCAATCAATCAATCAATCAATCAATCAAACTATCAATCAATGAGAAAAAACTATCAATCAATCAATCATTCCATCAATCAAACTATCAATTAATCAATCAAAGGATAAATCAATCAACGACGATTCTTCTATTTATTCAGACAACTCGAATCAATAACAAGATGAAGTCCGCAAGAATGGTAAAAGGGAAATTACGAAGATCAGAATTCATCATAGAGGCAGAAGACGATTTTTACCTTAACCAAGTCATCTTGATCGATATTCACGTCAAAAGTGAGCTCAATGTCATGGTCAGGTAGTAGAGGCTGCCTAGATTTCTCATCGTACCCCAGTCCTACCAACGCCCCTGTGTAATACTGGTTCTGCGGATCAGTCCTTCATTGGAATAAAAAACAAATAGTCAATAACATCAGCTTAAAACRGACTCCAAATAAAAACATCAAATGAACGATTATCAGGGMTGTATAGTGATCAGCATCTTTCCTGTAGTACCTTTTAAAAGACACACAAGACATAATTTCTTCATTTGTGAYTGTTATTATGCTTATGTTGACGTTTTATGTCAATCGCTTTACTTCATTTCTTTGTATTTTTCTTTGCTTTCTGCTTATGCATACGCTTGCTTAGTCGTGTCTATCTCTTACCTCATTTCTGCACAAGGAGCAAAGATCAAAGCGAGRATCGGTAGCAGACCATGTATGGTGGGCATAAGAGTTGTRTCCCTGCAATAAAAACAAAACYAATTAATTGAAARCACCCAAGTATTCAATAAATGCTGTTTTGACCGGRAGATGGATAATCAGAGACCGATTTGCATTCTGGGACTAAACCACGACCGAAAGGGAGCATGGGAATCATCCATACCTTGCAATAACGGAGTTTCCACTGGAGTTAATCCCAATGTTAGCAGCAACAAGAAGCCGTGGATGAGTATCCTGAAGCTGGTCGTTGAGCGCGACACTGTTTACCGAGTCCACCTCAATGCTGGCTGGCCTGRTGAAGAAAGAATTTCATACACTTTGCTTGTTGCTATTACTGATATTGTTCTTTTATTAAATTAAACCCCGYTTTACGGTCAATCGACCACCCCGTTATAACGGCCAGATTTTTTGTCCGTTTTAAACGCCTATACTTTTCAGCCTATAATAATAATATAATAAAATAATATAATATAAATAAAAGAGTTTATTTATTATTTATTTACTATAGCCACCCCATTCATACAGCGATTTCGATGGCCGGATTAACGAGTTTCCACTAGAATTAATCAATCTGTCAATCAAGGGACAACTTTGGGTTTGTATAAAGTGTCCTTAACAAGAAGTGTCTGCTACAATGGGAGTAATTTACAGTGTGATTTCTTTGGAGCAAGGTGCTATTCAAGTAGGAGTCCATAATAATGTGTTCCCGCAAGATAAGAGATGATTATGGATGAACTTCATTCAGTGAGAAGTGAAAATGGGTTTATCAGACCACACAATATATTCCCAGATAATACTCCAAACGCATGCATGATTAATGCTACTGATAYAGYCTGCTACTGCTACTGATATAGTCTGCTACTGCTACTGATATAGTCTACTACTGCTACTGATATGTCTTAAGCAACAGTCTTACTTCAGCCGTCCAATACTGGTAATACTGTAGAACGTCATCTCGATGGGGCTGTAAGGACCTCGTAATGACACCTAAAAGAGATTTAAATTAGTGAGAATCAGTGAAAGCACGACTACATCCATTGTAGTTAGCATTAATAACAATTCAAAATAAATATAAAATACCCTTGTTAAGAATTTATCTGGGGTAGTGTTGGGTCCAAGGTCTTGGTCCTCAAACCAGTTGATATTTTCCTCTTCATCGCCACCATCTGCGGGTAATGCCTCGGCTTGTTGATGAGCCATCTGTCAAGGGGTAGGCAGTCAGTTGAGTGAATATCTAACCATTTGCTGATAATGATTACATATTTATACAAAATGAGTAACTGGTTAACAATTGCTACTGTTACAGTGTCTTGATAAACTGAATCAACRGATTTCGACATTGGATTTATCCTATAAATATTGATCACTTTGCATCACATCGGTGATTGCAGTGGCTATAGCAACCATGATGATCAAATCTGATTCCGATGAATAAAAGATCTGCTCATGGCAAAAATCAAATATGATTCAAATGGCAATGATGATAACAGTTATTTCAATTATGATGTTGAAAGAAAGTAGTTATGGTAATATACAGATAGATCAAATCTGATACTGATGATTAAAAGATCTGCTGACAACAATAACTGAATATAAATCATGATGATGATGACAGTTAATTCGAAAATGTTGATAGACAATAGTAATGTTAATATTACAGATGTAGATCGAGTCTGATACTGAAGAATAAAAAATCTGCTGATGATAGTAACTGACTGTCAATCAAATACCTTTGATGGGTACGATTCCTCCATAAACTGTGCATAACCCTCGTCAATCAGAACCTCATTAATATGGATGTCTTCTTCTGTCATTGTGTCATAAAGGTCGACTCTTAGAATCCCATGTAAGCGAGAATAGATCTAAACACAACAAATTGTAATGCATAGTGACATAATGGAACCAATACAAACTCTGTAAAAGTACGTTCAGTTTCATTAGAGCGGATTTTGTTTGATTGTGCAAAGGCACGGATCATGGCACGGACACGGCACGGTCACGGAACCTCGCCTGGTAGTACGAAATGTAGTGATTCAAGATCCCCGTCACGGCAAGGCACGGTTACTACTCGAAAGTACGTGTTTTTTGCAGCAGCTATGCACCCTTTTAATAAATCCGAGGGTGTATACGAAATCCTCTCTTTACCATCAAATGCCATGTCGTTTAAGGAACCATTGAATTATATTCTGAAACTCGCCGAACTTAACTGGTTTGGATTTTGTATTCTTTAAAATTACATCGATTTTGCCAGTAAAACGGAGTAATTCATTGGGACGAGATGGCACAAGTGGTGATATTGATTAGGGATGAGATGGTGGTGGTGAGATGGCAATGGGCCATGATGACCAGATACCGTTGTGAATCCAAAGCTTACCTTGGCAACAAGCTTTTTATTTTCGGTTAATTCAACAAATCTCTCGTTCGCTTGGACAGACCACATGCCATGGCTACTTGCACATGAGATTGATGGCTGAATCTCACACAGCTCACATTCAAATGCCTAACAAAATAGATGAAAGTCAAAAAAAAATAGCAGTGTAATGAGCGCATTATATTATAATTGGAATATTACYTGGAATGGAATACGAAGGAAGTCTGGTTTCATTTTCCGTATTTCCAAAAGGCCATCACCGAATATCTCCAAAATGTTACCATAGTCTGGAAATATCACCTTAAAGAAAAAACCGGATATACCGTCACATAATTGTCATTACTTTAATTCTCATAAACCGTAACTGGGCTGCCATKAMGAACAAACCAAAGCCTCTTGGGAGTGACGTCACAGGTCACTGAACCATGATTATCAAAGGGAGTGACCCTTTTGACACATACGAGTCTCCCAGGAAGATTGCAGAAAGTGATGCAAGCTTGAGATACAAAATTCAAACAGAATTGTGGTTACCGTTATTGATCTTGGAAGGCGATGTGAATTTCTGAGTCTTGCTTGTCCATCGTTGATTCTGATCACCCTAGCTCTATACAGAGCGACRTTCTCACCATAAGGGACTAAACATAAGCTGCCAACGCGCAGTGATGGCCAGTCAAAAGCCTATTGGAAAAAAAAGATATGTTTTTTTATGTTGCTGTAGTTGTTATTACTATTGCTGATCATTTTCTTGTTTCTCTTATTATTACTGTTGTTTATGTTGGTTATTGTTGTTTCTGTTGCTAATACTCTTAATATTGTTRCTTCTTTCACAAAATATTTTCAAGTTACAGCTAGGATGTTGCATGATTTGAAGAAATTGAGGTTTCTCTAGCTTGAAAAAAAAAAATTTAATGCATTAAATTTGAATTTTTTTCAAGCTCTTATTGCTTCTTTTGTTGTTACTACCGCTGCTGTAGTTGCTGATTGTTGTTGCTATTGCTATTGTTGTTGTACATGTAAGTGATTACTTTTCTYRTTGCAGTTTCTTCTTTGTAACTGTTGTTGTTGTTGTTACTGCTGCTGCTTATGTTGCTAGTACTGCTGTTGATGGCGTTATTGATGCTTCTGCGGCCGTTACAACTGTAGTTGCTACAAGTTGTTGGAGTTCTTGTTGCAGTTGTTGTTCTTGTTGTTGTTACTGCAGCTCTTTTGTAGCCTGCGTACATTCGGTACGCTGGATGAGCTCAGGCTACTGTTTCAGTCATTTATACATCGTTATTGTTTTGATTCACATCATGATTACCTCGTGATATTGATAAATTCCTATATCATATTCCAACTGTCCAAAGCTTCTTGAAGATTCTTGTTCAGCATTGGCTGCCCAGAAATGACCAGCATCTACAACCTGAAACACAGAGCCCGAAATCTGAATTGGAAATTGAAGTAATGACATCATTCAATTGACACAAACTTTCCTAGTCATGAACAAAATGTAGCTAATGTTTTGTGAAAATAATCAATGCACATTGAAAAAGTTTACCCATGTTATCACAACTTCAAGGTATCCTTTACGTGGGACAGTTACATATCTTGGTTGGTCAATCTCGTCAAAGGAAATTCTTTGTGATCCAGGAGACAGTGAAGCAGCAACTCTGGTTTGAAAATGAACAAGGGAAACATCAACTCACATTTTACAGTGCAAGACTGCGTGTAATACTCGTACTGACCTGCTGGTTCGTAGTTTTGTAGAGCCCACTGGTCGTAAGCTGTTTATTTGTGATTCAATTTGTTTATTATTCCTTTCCGAAATGTAGATGTTAAGAGGCATTCTCAATGATCTAAAAATAAAAAAGCCATGAAATATAGTTTCTTATAAAATCAATTCAACAATCTATCAAGTGACCAAACCTCATTTTGATGGCCAAATATACTGCAGGTAGAATTGTAGTGCTACTGCCTGTCTGTGATGTCTTATCAAACTCAATATAAGCCCTAGTAAACATAACATGGATAACAAATGATATCAAGACTTGTATACTCACAGTATATTGTCACCAAATTCTGATGGCTTCATGAAAAATATACATCAAGTCAAATAATATCACAAAATCTGAACAAAATACCCTTGGAAGCAAGATATTGTACTGTTCTAAAGCTTTATGGCAATGTACTAAATACTTTAATAGTCTTTCTCAGAATTTACCTGGTGTCTTCAAAGAACAAATACTTCCCCTTCCCACAGTCACGGAATAGTCTTGCAATGGCAGCTTTGTACTGTGCTCCATACTGTGGCATACCTCGTACCTAATAACAGACCAAATGTTCTTAAATACACTTCGCCATGACAAAACACAGGTGCAAATAATTTGCAATGTTTGCACTAATAACTAGCATAACAAATAAATTTTCCATCATGTTTTTTGGTGCAGTTCATTCTGTCCCCTCCTGTCATTAGCAAAATTTAGCTTGGGAATAACTAAAAATAACAAGCAAGCAGTTGTCATTGTATGGGGGAGGTCCTTGAGCTGTGAAGGTATCCTTGCTTGCTTATAATAGCCGACTTTTGCCTCAGTAGTCACACACAAAGGAATCAAGACGAGTCGCCGTGCATAAAGCCCAGTCATTCGTGAAAAGACAATGGTCATTCACATTTGACTGAGCTTTATGCACGGCGCCTCGTCTTGATTCTTTTGTGTTTGACTATTGAGGCGAAATTCACAAGTCGGCTATTGATGCTGCAGAATGATATTTGTTCTTGAGTTTAATACAAAACAAAAACATAAAAAAATACAGTATTTAATTACCATAACAGTAGAGAAAGGATCATGACCAGACATAGTCTTGGTAGCCTCAGCCTCATCAATATCTCCAGACAGRAAGTAATTAGGGTAAAAAGCTCCAGCAATCACAAGCTATGGAAGAAGACATAAGTTTGATTATCATAACCATCACATTCACTTTATATAAGACTAATAACACATACAAACCTTAAGGATAAGTTGATCTTCTGGCGTGTCCATCTTCCTACAGAATCAAACAAGTTTACAGTCAATTTAACTAGAAAACATTTATAAGCAAAACAACAAAGAACTATTCATGACTTCCCATACTCAGGTTCACTGACCACGAACAAAGCATTGAACGAGGCATCAAGGTACACTGAGCACAGATCATTTCTTTTATGCTCACTGAACCTTGACGACTCAGTCCAATGGTTTGTTCATGATCACTAAACCAGTGATATGGAATATTGTGAATAATAAAATGTCTTTGAGTTGAGTTTGAATTGAGTATTTCTGCCATTTTCATTGCTATGAGACCAGTCCAGACAAAACTTTACAACTGCAATATTAGCAAAGACTAATGTCAATCAATTGAAGTGCTCTGACGCCAGTCATGCCATGCAGTTTGTCTGCGCTAGTTGTGCACCAATGCCAACAGTGGTAAAACATGGGAAACTTAATAGACATACTTTCTGTGAATTTCACATTCAGTTCTAACATTGAGGTGTCTTAGTCTTTCTGTCAGCTCTTTAGCCAGCTCATGGACCTAGAATAATAGATATACCACCAGATAAGACTTTCCATTGAAAGGGARTAAGTCTCATTATGGAATAACCATTTTTAAAACTACAGTACACTGAGCACAAATATAGATTAACCTCTCGTATTCTTCCCATCTGAATACCCTTGTCTTTGCACCAAGATAATTCTCCATTGGGGCCACTCTGGAGAAATATAATATTACACAAATTATATTCCTTTTATGTGATCTAAAAGACAAGAAATTTCAGCAATTATATTTGTTTTCAATTGAACTCCACTCACCCTGAACAAATTCATCTCTTTGTGAGCCACCCATTCCTAGAAAAAAAGAGAAAAGAAAACTAACCAAATTGCCTTTWGCATGTAATATAAAAGTAAATYAGGGRGTGGTTCCACGAGTTCCTTGGCAGACAAGGTCATTAGAATATGAGCAAGTTCTACAGTTTGTTCACTGTGAATCCAAAACAATACTCTTGCAGTTTTGCAGTCAATCACCTTCTAAAAAGTCTTGAAACCACAAAACACTTCAAAATAACTCTTTGCAATATTAAAAAAACATAAAATTATCAATGGATAATCTTGATTTATTCTTTATTTCCCCAGAGCCTCGTCTGCAATTCTTTTGTGCATGGTCACTGAACCAAAATATCTAAAGTCGGCTATTAGAAAGCAAGTTTTAATAGGTGCTGTATTTGTCATCCAGCGAATACGTTCTTCAATAATGTATATGAAATGCAAATAACATTGCACAAACTCACAGTATAAGCCCTCAAAGAGCAGATGCAATCACTAAATGYTGAACCATCCCATCTCATCTTGTTCCTACAGAATAAAAAATGCATTATGCCTTGTCATTTTTAGTCACCTTTTAACAAACATAACTTGCTTGTATAATTAACATACATACATTGTACATCCTAACAAATCCTAACTGACAACGCACATCGAATGATTTTCAGTGAACAATCTTTACCTGTAGGTTTTAAGTTCTTCTTTGAATTTCCTRGAGAAGAATGTCTTGAGAGACAATGAGGCTCCTGGAAATAAAATGCATATGGTGCTGTTGGAATCACAACAGAGAGTCTCAACCTTTTCTTTATCTCAACCACATTGTCATAAGGTTTTAAACTTAAACAAAATATGAAGTGTTRAAGAAAAGTGAAAGTTTGCAATTAAGCTTAGTGACTCACAAATCTAGAGTCCCTCCATTTCATGCACCTCTTTTTTTCTGACAGTCATATAGAATCACAGACACTGACCACAAATCATACCATACCATACCAAACTAAGCATTATGTATTACTTACCTATAACAATACATTCTTCTAGACAGCCAAACACATAGCCTAGAACTAGAAGTTTACCAATCTTGACATCAACAGGAAGATTGCCAAGCACTTTACCCACAAAYGTAAGRTCRCCATCGTGAGGGTTCATCACTTTTCCCTTCATCTTTGTTGTCAATGCACCAACCTGGAAGACGATGAGAATTGCTCAATAACATGATGGTTTCACTGTCTTCACTCTGTGTTATAGCACTTAAGATTTAAGAAATGTTTCCTTTGAAAGTTCACAAATCAACATCCTCGGGAAACCAGAGGTTATCTTCTGTCGTTCGTTCCTCACTCCCAGAAAAAATACCMCTKGGCACGAAGTCTGTTAGACCTTGTTCTYGATTCGAAATTCAAAATGGCGGCTGGTAAATTTCTGATTGGTCGAGTGATTCACTCGAACATTCTGATTGKTTGATTAACTTWCYGGCCRCCATTTTGAATTTCRAATCGAGAACAAGGTCTAACAGACTTCGTGCCCAGKGGTATTTTTTCTGGGAGTGAGGAACGAAMGACAGAAGATWACCYCTGGKTTCCCGAGGATGACAAATCAATAATGACATAACATAAGGACAGCCACAGTATATATATACTTTTTTATTAATGCCTTTGAATAGTATGCTCCTTAGAGTAATAATGGAAGAGATTGTTGCTGAAAATACTTTGATTTTGTCAATGTGAACCACACTTAGTCCTAAGTGTTTTGAAGCAAAATGATATAGAAATGAAGGATAGTTCTATAGTRCTTAGAAGGAGGTTATTTGGAGAGAAAATATGACTTTCAGAGATTTGATTTGTTACCTGTTTCAGTAATAAAACTGTTCTTTCTATGTCATCAAGGTCAGGTGGCTGGAGAGCAAGTCTTAGAATAGCTCTTGGTTCACCCAGGTCTAATAGTTTGACTTGAAGGACAACCTGYTCCAAAGGACATCTCTAAACAGCATGATGTAAAACATTGGTTAGAGCTGCATGCTTTATGAAAGTAAAACAACTTTTTGTATTCATTCCTTTCTTTGACATTATGCCAATAGGCAATATGCAGCAATGTGCAATCCTATAGAAGTGTCTATCAAGATTGGGAACATACTTGCATCTCAGGAACTCCAAATTCTGTGAAACAGCTGTTGTAGAACTCCTCAGTAACCATCCTATAGCAGATACCAGAAGACACTCGACCAGCACGACCTTCCAAGAAAACAAAACAAAAACAAAAAACAAAAAAATGAATTAGGAAATCAAAACACTAACAGCTAATAATCGAAAGATATATTCAAACAGGCCTCTTTTTGCTTGAAGTAGCAGAGCCCATGCTAAGTGTTGGTAAAAGTCAGTTTTAGGGGATACATTATATTACCTTTTCTTTGAATACAACTTGATTTTGATGACCACTGAACTTGAAGAGCTTGATAATTAGTGTTTGGGTCACATATCAAACACTTTGTCAGACAAAAGTCAACCACTGAAAAAAAGATTTTTGATGATCAATGAAGGGTTAAAGAAAACCATGAGAAAAGTTTGAGAAGAATGAAGCAAAATCATCATGGATTTTTGAACTTCTAGAGAAAGTGTTCTCCATTTTGCAATGGGATTTGTGAATGAATGAGCTGCAATAAGTGAAAGAATGGATTAAAAGATAGCATGAATGGATAAATACCYTGGATAATGAATGAATGAGCATGTTTTAAATGAAAAAAAAGTAAATGGACTAAAAATGAGAAGGAATGAAAAAATTAAAATACAAAAGGCAAACAAGAACACCATTTCATTACCATATTTGATATCTGGAACAGTGATAGAACTCTCAGCAATGTTTGTGGACAGTATTATCTATAATATGGTAAGAAATAGTATTACACTAATATCAACTGTTTATAAGACTGTAAGAAATGATATTAGCCTTTTGGTTAAAGTTAGTAAGTATAATTAAAGTTATTTTCAATTCTGATATACAGCTTACTGTAAAAAATAGAATTTCTTTACCTTTCTCACTCCAGCTTTTGGTTTAACAAACACTTTGGACTGTTCTTCAATAGTGATTTGAGAGTGCAGTGGTAAAAGCCAAAGACTAGTAAAATATTAGTTGTATTTTAGTACCCTGATCCTCATTGACTGCTAGTAGCCCTTACAAGGACAAAAGCCAAATCCAATTCAAGCCCTAGTGCAAAAACATGTACAATATACCTTAGAACCACTTACTTAGAGTTAGGACACAACTCCTCCAGAAACTGATGCATCCTTTTAATTTCAGGCAAGCCTAATGGAAATAAGATAGTGAATAAAATAATGCATCTTGACTTTGAATACATTTGTGAAATAATAAATGAATGAAAGTGTATGAAGTGACGTGTCGACTCACCAGGAAGAAACATAAGGACTGTGCCCCTTTCAACTCCGAGGTTTTCACTATTGGGTCCCATTCTACACACAAAATGAATATAGTAAATCATAAACAATTAAACATTTAATCAGAAAACTCATGAATCAGTGTCTTTATATGATACCTGGCTTGGTGTTTCTCTAGTGAATCTAATGATGCTATCAATCTTGCAGCTAATTCATTGGCTTCTGATGAAATGCCTGGATCTTCAAGCGACACATTTGGCAGCTACAAATAAATAAAAATAATCAAGCTGCCAATGGCAACACAACTTGAAGATGGATTGTGTGGACGCATACGGAATAATAATTCTGAAGTAACGCAGGAAAGTGAGTGAGTGGCTGACTTAGTGAGTGACAGATTCATCCCCCTCCTGTCCAATAACTCTTCGATTGCTTTGCAATCTTCGAGTTAAAAATAAACTTTAATCTGCAAAATGTAATGCAATGGGATATTAATAACTGCATGGTTACCTGACCAAGCGCTGTCAAATGATCCAAATACACCTCTTTAACAGGGAATATTTTTCCTTCTAATGGAACGACTGGTGCACCTTGTAATATTCCTTGTACAGGAACGGAGAAGTATCTTGAGAACAGATTACTTTGCAGTGTAGCAGACATTAGTACAACCTAAAACCATGGAAAAATAGGTAATTTGTTTTTTATGGGTTTGCTACTTGGGTATGTTGGATGATGAATCATACAATCTTACCTTAACATGTCTTGAATTGGATCGCAGGAGCTTGCGGACAACTAACAAGCAGAAGTCAGTATCCTGGTCTCTTTCATGGACCTGATATAATCCAAAATAAAATAATAACTGTAGCTAATCGAAAGCATTTGATAAAACCATTGGGAAAACCAGATGGTGAAACTACTGGGCCAGCAAAAGCATGGGAAACCAACTCCAACATAACAAACAGATCTTCACGCCCATGCATGGTTATTAACTGCATTTTTGTAGTCACTCCCATCGTAGATGTGGAATCACTATATATCATTGTGCAGAAACACAAAAGCACAGCAAACACAGCAAGCATTTTGGTCATAAGTCTACATGAACGTAGGAATCATAAAATTCTGGTGTTTGGCTAATATACTGTAGTCTTAACCTGTGTGCCACAGGCCTATGGGGCTGCTTGCTGATGATATACAACCATTTTATTAAATATTTGTTTCGTTATGTTTGTTTGTTTGTTTGTTTGTTTTTCACATTACCTCATCAATAACAACATGTGTAAATTGATTCAGGTTTTTAGTGGCAATAAGCTTCTGTAGCAACACACCAGTAGTGACATAAGTGATTCTTGTATCTTCACTTATACACCTATCACGAGCAACCTGATACCCAACTAGACTTCCTGGAGTACAGTTTCTTTCCTGGCAAACTCTTTTAGCAATACTTGTGGCAGCAATACGGCGTGGCTGTGTTACAATGATGTTACAATATCTTTTGTCTTTAGCATAATGGTCTATGATGTACTGTGGTACTTGCGTGGTCTTGCCGCTACCAGTTGGACCTAGAATATGAATGAATGGGAAAATAAGTGAAAAGTGAATGGAAAAGTATGGTTAGTAAGAGCAAATTTCTATATCCCTTCATAAATTATATATTTTTGACCTTAAACTTAAGGAACCATCAAAAACAGTGAGCTCCTAAAATATAACCAGAATGAATTCTTTTGCAAAGTTTGTAGGTCTTAAGACAGCTTTCATGGGAGTGTTTATATCACTACCAAGATTCAATTTTAGTTGCTCCTGGTTTTATTAAGTACCCTGGTTCCAAAGGCTTTGCGTGTCAAGCTTCATTATTATTGCTTCGCAACTCGACAATAATAACACACAAGAGAACACAAGGCAAGCCTCTGGAACCAAGGTAATTAATAATTTGATTGTATTAACAATGTGGCTTGTCCTTATGTGATATAAATTTTATTGAATTTGTATGTGTATGTATGTGATGTGGAAAATACAAAATGTAGCCGAAGCCGCTAAATGTGTAGATCGAGTTTACGACAAAAATATGATTCCGAGCTTTCGCTGTCTACAGCATCATCAGGGAATGAGTATGTATTGTTAATAAACAATAAAAAATGCTTGTTGTCTTTACCATGAATCACACAAACTGAGTTACTCTCAATGGTATTCACTATGTCTTGTTGGTAATGAGTGATGGGRAGATCAGGCGAGTATTCATGATTAAAGGAGTAATTTTCATAGATATGTGCCTCCTCTTCCCCCTTRAGTGCTGCTGGGACAGGTTCATCTGGATCACTAGGAGGCACATCAGGGGGGTTCAAGTCAAGACGGCTTATGTCGTCTCCATTGAGAAAGTCCTCCTCTGTTCCAGTAGGCCACATTGTTGAATCATCATCACTGCAAATACAGAACTGTAATGTCAAAATGGCAATGAATTCAATGAAAACATTGATCAAATCATATTTTTTCATGACTTGTTAGTGCCTCCTTCACATTAAAGTTTTGCTTTCTTGGTCCTTTTGTTTTCATGGGTGCATGCATGTGCACCCGTTGCTATGGCACTGTCTTGTCCTTCTGGATCTTATTCACAAAGTATCCACAAAGTATCTCACCAAATGTTACATAACTAACATGATGGATTGACATCTGACATGTCTTACTATTGTATATTTTCTAATATTTCGTGTCATGAGCAGATATTTCTAAACACAAAGATGTTGAATATGACAGACAGCTGGACGAAAACTGCACATTGTTCATTTTACTGAAACCACAAAACCGCACTCAACAATTGTTTGAAACCGCATCMTTCTATCAACAATATTATAAATATTCTTAAAACATTCTTCAGAATTCAACCCCACACATACACAAAGATATTATCAATTTATTAGAAGATATAAGTTATTAGTTATTCTATGGTAAAAGTTGAATTTGACAAGTAGAACCCTCTTGCTGCATTTTATCAACTTTGCTATATTTGTTTAACCATGCCAACAATTCCTTAAAGCTTTCGGTTTCTTGCTTTCTCGATTAATTCTAGATATCTAGTACCTATTTACCCGTAAATATTTTTCTTCTTCTTTATCAATTTGAACTCGGGATTGTAAGAAGTGTCAGGGGCAGGAGGAGGCCCCCTAACTTTGACTATTTTCGTCTTTGTGGCAACAGGTTTGCTCAAGTTGAAGAAGCTATGCACCATATCGGGCGTAATATCACTCATCTTGAGCTTGGCTAAACCCCTTTGTGTGTATTAAAGCCGATTTAATCCATATTTTGAGTCATTCTTGATGAAGAACGTCCTTCATGATACCACAATCTGTTCTGGCCATGTGTTTTCATGTACTTCAAATTCTTAACCAATCAGATGGACTGTTAGAAAATTATAAGCCAATCAAAAAACGTTTCATATCGTATGTAAACTTGCGCCCGCAGTTCTTATAAACAAAATGGTGGAARAGTTTCTGCAGTTGAGAGAACTTTTATTTGGATTTTAGGAATCAAATAACAAATATTGAAGTGCTCAGATGTAGTTACCATTGCGTCTTCCTCCCGTCTTCCTAAAAGYGCACAAATCTACGTTGTTTTGTACGATATGGAAGCTCAATTCTGTCCAAGGTGCAAAACAACGAAAGATAGAAATCCAAAACTCAAGTTGATGGTCAATGTTTGCGGTCATAAACTGTAAGTATACGATATGTGGATCAAAATAAATATTGCTTTCAGATATTCATTTGAGGATGTTATGGACTTGTGAATAGATAGAAAAATCAAGGGGAAGGAGAGGATAATTTTATAGATTGTTCAATATGAGTGCAAGTATAATTTTAAATATTTACCATGTAAGCTTTATACATGCAATTGTTAAATCAGTCTGACAATTTCCAGGTGCGACAATTGCGTGGATGTACTTTTCACAAGACCATCAGCAGCTTGCCCAGAATGCAATACTCCACTACGTCGGAGCGACTTTCGYTTGCAACAGTTTGAAGATCTCATTGTCGAAAAGGAAGTTGACATACGTAAAAGAATAGTCAGAATGTAGGTCGTTTGAGATGTTATAATGCCATGTTGTGAATATCACCAAAAGATGCTAACTAATTATTACATGCTTGTTAGTTTTCGGGCTTCCTGTGGTGTGATTCAAAGAGTGCTTCAAGACGCATAAGCATATTTTTCTATCTGCTATGCGATTTTCCTTGGAGTGCACAAAAWCAGAAAAATTGCACCTGTATTGCATAAATTAATATTGGGAAATCCAAGTAAATGAAACAACTAATTATGTTATTGRCAGCTTTGCCATCTTGTCTTACCTTCCAAATGTAAAACAATAAAACCTATTCTTTTATCATAACTGTGCTATATCTTATCTTAAAAAAAAACAAGATACAACAAGAGAGAAGAAGACTTCCAGTCACAGCCAAACCCACTGAGAAGTTTTAATGACTACCTAGAAGAAGTAGAGGACATCAGTTAGTATTTAAGACATTTTCTATGACTTATTAAAGAGGCACTCTGTGGATGCACCCCAGCATTCTACCCAATTTGTAGTGGTTTCACTGTGTTTAGTATTAGACAAATGGATTGTTTTTTTAGTTTGGAACCTTTCCAATGGTGTTGATGTGGATGAGACAAGGAAAGCTGTAGAAAAGTACAAGAAGGATAATGAAGCACTGATTAGGAAAAACAATGTCAAAATGGTATGATACTAACACAWGCATATATGTTCAGCGATGCCATTTTGTGCAACAAAGCATGATGGGAGTTGTAGTCCTCTCACTTTTTTATGTCTGCCAAAACAGACCTTGTAAGCTGTTTGTGCTTTTTCTCTAGATAATAGAAGTAGTTGCACCATAAAAACCTACTTTTAGGAAGATTTCTTAACCTACGAAAAGTGTGAGTCCCATCATGCTTTATTGCACAAAATGCCGGTTTTGTTACAGAAGGTATAAATTTTGAAAATAAAATGACTTGAGAGCTATTGCAATGGATGTCTGTCAGAAACAAAATACAATACAAAAGCAAGTGACAACTGACTAATAGTTTCTCTAGCTTTGCATCACAACCAGTCTAACCAGTCCAACCAGTTTATGTAATGCCTGTGTTTTGCAGGGAAGAGAGGAAGCTATTATTTTATCACAAATTGAGGAAGAAGAAAAAATGGCAGAAAATAAAAGAAAAGAAGTCGTAATGAGTAAAATGGAAGAGAAAAGAAAGAAACAAATGGAAAATGAATCATTTCTTAATGATTTGGTAAGTACTATTTTCGTTGGTGGAAGAAAAGGTTTGAGAGTAAATCAACCAATAATATTGCTTCTTCAGGCTTCAGGAGATCGTCCACTGGATGAGATTATATCTGAGCACTCCACTAAAATGGCCAAAAAAACTTCTGTCCTATTTTCATCTGTCAAGGTTTGTAAAAAATTCAAAACCAACTTGTTTTTAAAAACATGTAAGTGCTCTTCAGTTCTTCTATATTTTTCTTCCTGCATTCAACATTTATAGCCAAAGACGGAAAGTGTTYCCTTACCATCGATGGATGCTCCATTGTTCAAGTATATTGCTCCAGTTGAAGATAATTGTGGGATTGAACCACCATCTCAAGAATTGCTAGCACCTAGAGGGTAAGGGGATTTGAATATGAATATTGATTGAGTTCTTGAGCCAAACTGATGAACTAAGTTGTTCCTGTTTCATGCGTTCAATTACCGTAAGCCATGTTTAATGAACTAACTCATCTAGTAGATTACATGTGCTTTTCATGCATGATATGATTGAYAGTTACATTACGTAATCAGATACCGGAAGTGGTACACCGGAAGTACACATATTGTAACAGTTCCAATTTTATTTCTTTTCCTTTTCATCATCAGATACTTGAAAAATATTCGTGCAACTACATCAAGTGAGAAAGCAGGTGGCTACACTGCTGAACTTGGCTGTGGACGTGCAATTCAAGAAGCTTTCTCAGCCCTCTATTTGAACTGTGATACTCAAGCATAGCAAGTGTCACTGTATATAGTTGTACTCAGATGGATTATTTATATTAATAAAACAGTTTACAAAATCATCTTCTTTTGTCAAAGAAAAAATTCTCAAAAAGTGACAGGCCCTTCACACATTCATATGTTACTCAGATATTTCTAGGAAGGAGATAGATGATCCCCAGATCTCAGTGCCTACCTCTGCACACTACAATACTTTAATACCACGGGTAATCCGCATTTCACTTTTAAAAAGCGCGCTTCGAAAGCGTACGGAGTCATTGCGTGCGGGAAAGATGCGGGAAAATCGCGGGAACCCTGTATATCGCCTGGTCACATAGCATGTGGTACATTCAAAATGGCGGACGAACATCGGCGAACATGACTTGTCAAGAGACGCAAATTTCATGTAATTTTCCCGAGATCTGAACATGGCAAATCGTCCCAAAAGAGGAGATACAGAAGATGATCTCCTTGACTTTCAAGAGCAGTTTCTTGCGAGCAGRAATATCCCATCGGCGGCAGTTGTGCGCGTAAATAAAGATCCTCGAGACAAACAAGAACAACACTTGCCTGTCCAGAGAGATGTTGTCGATCTTCAAGGTTAGAGAGAGTTTCACGTGTGAAATCGGAGATCAATATTGTTGACTTACAGTAGGTACAATGCCATCCAATATTGTGACTTTGTGGTTCTTGTATTTTCAATGTGTAAGGACTTCCTCAAAGTCTTGCTAATCCAATTGGCGACTTCGGTCCTCCAAAAAAGAAGTCTAAATTCAAAGAAAAAAGACTCTTAAAGACGAAAGTAAAGGTACGCACATTATAAAAGTGTATTATGTGCTAATCAACAAGTAGCTTGATTGTTGTATAAGCCATACTGGAAGCATATTTACATATATAATATAATAGTTTTCAATACTTTTAGGTGGGGTCAGATTTTACAGATGACAGAGATGAAGACATGGCTGACCTCCTAGACAGTAAGCTTTCCATCATTTGGTTCTTCCTTTCCTTCTTTACATGAAACACATTTATGCAGTCATCAGTCAATTCATTCATGCAATCAATCAATCAATCAATCAATCAACCAGCCAACCATGCAGCCAACCAATCATTATCTGTGATAATTTATATATTTCTACTTGTTCATTTAGGGCATGATACACATGTCTCCACTGTTTTAACTGAAATCAGGGTAAGAGTGATAAACTTCTTTTGCAAACAATAATCATAATTTTTATCACGATTGAAGTTGTTTTTTTATTACAACAGGAAAGAGACATTCAACAAAGTCAAGTGGTAATACCAAACAAGGTTTTGAGCAAAGGATTTCCCGAGGCCTTACATAGAGGACAGATCACTGAGGTATAGTTTATAGAATTACTGCATAACAAATGATTAGAGCTGTTAGAAAGTTTCTTATTAAATAATTATTTTGCATCCTTTTTACCTTGAAGAATCAACAAGAATCTAGCACTAGTAATCATGGTRAAAGAAGTCTTTTTGCTCAGCACTTCAAAGCAGCTAACCCCAGTATATTTGGATTACCTCAAATGAATCAACAAAATGACTCCCCCTCAGAAAAACAAATTCCTACAAATGGAGTTGCTATGATGCAGAAATCTCAGGGGGGCTCCTTTAGCACTTCAAGACTTGTCTCAGGAAAAGGGTTAATTTCATCATCAGCTGGAAATCAACAGTCAGTTGCATCAAGAGAAGTTGAAAGTATTCACAAGGAAAATGTGGAAAGATTATCTGCATTATCTAAAGAGGAAATACTGCAGGAGCAGGAACGATTAATGAAGAGTTTAGGTATGTCAGAGACTCTTATGTATGCTTAAAATTGTTGCTCAGGTTTACTGAGTAGCTAATTACAACTGGGGCTACATTAGCAGCGTTCTGATAAAGATTTTTAATCAGACATCTCTAACTGCTCCAGCTAATTTATCCTTTAGTCCTATGTGATTCATTGTTGAATTGTAATAAAAAAGTTGATTAATATTAAAATTCCTGATTACAGATCCCAACCTACTGTCCTTTCTGAGATTACGTCACCAACAGAAGACTTCAGAAGCTATGAAAGCTTCCCAACAAGAAGCAAAAATGGAAATAGAAGAGCACAGTACTTCAACTCATCTAACAGGCTTAGAAAATAGAATAGAAACTGATTCATCCGTACGAGATGTCTCACCTCAAAAATGTGAGACAATGGATGCTGAAACAGAGGACAAACATGTTCATTTTGATAATAATGTTGATGTCACAAAGCAACATGACATGCTGAAAGACAAAGTTGTGGAAGTTGATAAACTGACCAAAATGGCTACAGAACAGAAGTGGGTTCACATGGACACTGTTGAAGAAGAGAAACTTGAATGGATGAAGGATTGTCCTGCACCAAGTGCAGTTAAAAAGGAGGTGAAGCAAATGATGGAAATACAATGAATAGTCTTCTTCACAGTTCCCTGGCCCATCTTGAAAGGTAGCCGTGCCTTTGCATTGAAGTGAGACGACCATTGAGCATGAAATGATAGAAACCTTTTGTCACACCTACAGACAAACGCTCAACGGTTGTCTCGCTTCTATGTAAAGGCATGGCTACCTTTCAAGATGGCACACGTAACCATGAATGAAACTACAGGTATTAGCCTGAACGATACTGTGTTTAGAAAGATTGTTCCAGATTTCTTTAAACTTATTTAAGCACATGTGCGAGCTAAAACTTGCAAAATGACTGGTTGAGATTCCTTTGATGTGTTAAAATATTCCTTTCCAATTACTTAGAGTGATCATCAGGCTCGTTTTGCTTTTGATGGAAGCTTAATCACCAGAAATGCTGATATTCCAGTTAATGTTGGTTTACATCACCATGGTGATGAACCTCATGCTGCAGGGTACACACTTGAGGAGCTGTTTGTATTGTCAAGAAGTAGTTTCTTACAACAAAGAGTTGTTGCTTTGCAGACACTAGCAAGGATAATAGTACAGGTATGTAGGTAGTTACAGCCTTCCCCACAGGCATCACTTATAGTCATGTGCTTCCTGTCTTTGTTTGGGARCCAGAAGGAGAATGGGGTCAACAGAGGGGAGTCATTCTTACTTTTCCTTTCTCATCACTAGTCCCTAGCGATCAATAGACATGACTGTTACAAAGGAAGCCCATAGGATGAAAGAAAAACTGTCTGGGGAGTGGGATTGGGTAGTTATGATTATTTGCAGATGAATGCAGATGTAGTGCTGTTGCATACAAATATAGAAGAATCAGTGAGAAAATACATCAAAAGAAATATGGAATTAACTATTTACTAATATTATCGTTATTGTAGGATACTCAAGGCACATTTACTGACTTGCTTCAGTGCTCTGTACTGTCAACCCTCCTGGATGCTGGCATCATTTTTCTGTTGCGCTGGGCCATGGATGATACTGCTGATGCAGTTATTGCTGTAGCTATTCAGTGTTTAGCAGCAGTACTAGTAGTGCCAAATGATCAAGTAAGTGTTGGATCCTRTGGTGGTTCAGCTTGCAGTGTGTATAGTGTACCTAATACACCTACTTGCAGAAACATTGTCATAKAMAATAAAACATTTGATTTAGTAAAAAGGAATAAATTAARASAAGACAAAAGAAAGCATTCAGCCKGAGTGATCTTCTYTTRTCTTTTTRATTTATTCCTTTTTACTAAAAACAATGTTTTCGCAAGTAGGTGTATGTTTGTAAAAGAAAGGTGGCATTCCAAGCTCACTTATCATCTCATTTTGGWGAAAGACTAGGGCAACACTAACTGCAAAATATGTAAAATAAATACTGTTAAACATCTTAGGACTGCTGTGACAGAGTGTGTGAATGGCATCGAGGACAAGAATTGCCTTCTTTAAGACCTGAAGTGGAAGAGAAAAATGAAAATGAGAGTGAAGATGAAGATAGAAGAAGCGAAACAGATGCAGAAGTRGTAAAGAAAGATGTCATCAAGGTGAGGTTAAATTTTTCAGTAGGTTCAGAAAAGTCTTGTTAGAATTTTTAAAAAAAATCACTTGAATTTTTTCAAACAGAAACTAAAGGTCAATTTTGTTAATGTTACCATAACATTAAGCTATGTACAAGTTTTTTGTTGACAATTGATAAAATTGTGACATTTTAAGGGCCTTCTGCAAATGCGAATTCTACCTCGTTTGCGATACATACTAGAGGTTTGCCGACCAAGTCCTACTACTGTAAGGGGAGTCTTCTCAATCCTCACCAGAATTGCCAAACACTCCACTGGAGCTTCCCATGAAATTGTTAAATGCCCAAGATTGCTGGAAAGTGTCTTCTCAAAGTTTTTACCAACGTCTTGGAGAAAAGTTCATKTGCCTCTCAATGATGTCACAGACATGTATGGACTACCATCGCATGAAGCATTAACTTTGCTGAGAGCAATATGCTCAAGTGGACGGCATTTGAGTTCTTTACTGGTATGTGGTTCAAATAATTAAAAAAGACAGCTTTAGAGTTAGGCTAAAACCAGAATGGAGAATAGTTTATTTATAAGGATCGATCTGAAACAGATAAAATTCAGAGTAGAAATTGCTATATTTGTTATAGCTGTGTAKTCTTTAGTTTAGATATTGATCACTGTGTTTAATTGTTTTCTCCCAGATTTCCAAACACAACCTCATCAATTATATTCTTTGCTACACTTCTTTTCATCCACAAGATATCCAGCTCTCATTTGAAGATGGGATGAAGCTTTGTATAGAAAGTATCAGGACTTGGACAATATGCATCAGCTATGGACTTGCTTGTGACCAGTTTAGGTTGGTTATTATATCAACTGAACACTTTACATAAACAAATAAAAAATGAAGCAGACAAGAAAGTAAACAAAACATATTTATACTACATAATATGACACTAATAATTGGCCTCCTCTGTTCCATACATAATTCAAGATATTTTTGTTTCAAATTTATAGAGAAATATTCCCTACCTTCCTTCAACACATTCAAAAGCTTCAAGATATTTCAGTCATSAAACATAGTACATCAGTAACAGGTTTGGAAAGTGAGTGTAGGAGAGCTTGTTCTCTCCTAAACCTACTGGAGCATGTTATCCATGTTGCTGGCACAAGTGCTGAGATGCATGCTAAAATGCTGGCTTCATCTCCAAATGCTAATATAGAGGCAGAAGCYGATTGTCTTCCRCCACYTCCAGTCAACTGGTCTCATGTCATGGGTTTTATTCCACTTGTGGCATTTGCTTTGAATAAATGGAAAAATGAGATTGTATCTTTAGAGGAGAAACATTTAGATTCTCTTTTGGTAAGTTTGTTTTGCTGTGTTGCATTTAGTTGGTAGTATCCCTTGCAGACTGCTCCTGGTGTTGTTGAAGTAGACTTTGATGGATGATAAAAGGTTTTCAATTTGACAAGATAATACCAGTAGTGAAACAATGTAGATATATACAAAACCTAAGCCTACTCTACTACTTCAACTGCAAGTCTCTTTGTCTTTCTACTCTTCAACAGATACCAAATACAAGTACAATTAAGCACCCCCTTTTTACACTTCTACCTACTATACACTTACAATTATGGAATTTATAACATTTTTTCATAGGATTGCCATGTTCTTCGTTGTACAAGCATGTGTAATCTACTTGCTTCATTTTACTCGAAGCTTCCTTCTCAAGTATGTAATACTGTCTTGTTTGCCTGTCAGTTTGTTTCTGGGCTGGGTGCATTTGCTTTCTAGCATACTCAGGGTTCTGTTTTCTGAATTTGTTATATTTATGATTTTGTTTACAAGTGTCTGTTCTATTACTGTTTATGTTTTCACCGCTGTTTTCCAGTTGTTTAATTAGTTTTTATTTATGAAGGTGTTTGTGTACGTTGTGTGTGCATGTGTTTTGTTGTTCAACACTCTCACTGTTATATGTTTAGCCATCTTTCTCACCTGTGGATTCCTTACAAGACATTGAGGACCTTGTACCAACCATTTTATTACCAGTAATCAATTCAGCTTTTTTGGGATTAATGATTCAAAGTTTGAGGTAAGAGATATGAAGCATCATCATAATCTGTATAATGCATGTATAATTTCCACAATTTATTATTTATTGCACAGTAAAATAATATTATAATTACTAGACTATATAATTCTTGATTAAATTCTCATTAATTGTTTAGAAATATATCAGCTTCTCCCAAAGCTGTACTGTTCACCCGAGGGACACCTAACTTACCTGACTAYGGCACTTTACCTGCTAACRCTGGATATGGGACAACTGAGCCCACACAACCATTCTCACATGGACCAGCAGTAGCATTTATTACATCACTGACACGTCTTTCATGCAGTGTCATAAATGTACATAAAGGAATTGCTGCCAAGGCAAGTACTATCTTTGGAAAACAAATAATGCAATCTGGTTGGCCTAGTCTCCTTTGAAGGCTACTCCAACAGAAACGGACCTGCTTCTTCGGCAGCTTTTTTTTTGCCTTAACACAGGAATCCCACAGAGTAGAGTTGACTGCGAAGGAGGCTATGATTGGCCAAAGTTCTCAATATTTGTTGAGTGAAAGTAGTGAAATTAGGGCTTGATGTCAATGAAAATAATGGCAAAATTTTATATTATTTTGTTTCTATTTCCATCTATTGTAATGTAGTTTCTACCTCTGGTAACTGGAGAAGAAGTGATAGATTATATACAAAGCATATCCTCTACACAAGAAGTGAGTATATCGTTTTAAAATAAGGTATTTTACAACTGTTGATAGGATTAATGTTATCTTGCTATGATTGCAGATTCTCAGTCAGTCTTACTTTGGTCGTTTTGAGCTACACATGCAGTATTTTCTGATAAAGCTCTTCTATTTAGTGGTAAGTGCCATATAATTTACTAGATTGATTTAATATTTCTGTCATAATTACAATTTCTATCCTTCAAATACACTGTGATTTTACACCTTTTTCAATTTACGGTCATTGGGGAACAGTGTATATAAGACCGAAAGGGATTATGGGTATGATTGGGAAGCTTGACACATTACCATATTTGAACATAAGAGCGCAGGTTTTATTTTTTCTTTGGAACTTTGGTCTTACATTTTTAGTTTCTTTGATACGCAATTCATTCAAACATCTTTTCATTAAAAAAATAAAAATAAATATCTTCACAGTTCCAATTGTTAATAGTTGTCTCTATTACATTATGTCTTTTTGCGATATCATTCATTGATGATTGTTTGTTTTCTGGCCATTATAGGTGCGTTCTGTTGACTGTAAAGACATGTCRACGTCATTGGCTGTGTACCATTCCTCTGCTCTGGTTGTGTTCTCTCGTCTTCGTGCTGGGGACGAGCACTATGCGCATGACTTTATGTCAACCATTCTATTCAATCCTGATTTTTATCCGTAAGTTTAAAACGGTTTTTGTTAGTCACCAAAGAATAACGCACTAAGATTGACAACTGAATGATGCCGAAAATGAGACGATGATTGTAATAAAAACGTTATTGTCAATARAATAAACCAACTTACTAACAAAGAACTGTTCACTCAATGTATTTTGTTYCCAGAGAAGCAAAAGACCAAGAAACAACAAGTGTGGMAAGAGATYTATCAGTGTTAAACATCACTGCAAAAGGTGTTCCCAGTCAGCCCTTRCTGACCAAAGACAATAGGTCCTATACTCAGAAGGAGCTTCTGTGTGAGGCACATAAAAGCCTACTCGGTATAAGGTCCACGTATATGAGTTCTTTTGGWAAAGTCAGGCATGCTCTGGCGGCATCAAGGTGAGCTCGGTATATCTTCTAACTGTGAGCGTCTCAATTACAGCTGCAACCTGTCTGTCACTCGACGATGATAATGACGATGTTGTTGTGATTGTTATGGCAACAATTATTTAATTAATCATCCAGATTAGAGTATAGTTGTTTGGGATACTAATGATGATGATGATGGTCAAATGCCATATAATGCATTCTGATAATATTATGGTAATAGCGATGATGATACCCTAGTGAATCTGTTTATTGTACTGTCCAGATCGCTCGCTCTTCACCAGCCTCACGATATCCAATCCCTTCTACTCTCACCATCACGTGGTCCTTTCCTGCCAGCTGATTGGATGTTTGTGCCAATTGTCGACCTACACAATCAAACCCTTAGTGCGTAAGTGCGTCACTTCTTCCAGTCGTCGTTGTCAGGATATTTTCACTAAGTGACGTCATTAATGTATTTTTAGAGAGTCCAAAGGMGGCGTTGTTGATGAAGTACCCCCCGCGATGATATCTACAGTCACGTGCAMTTTGCAAATGATTTTGATGTTAGAGGAATGGCGGCCAGTGTCTTTGTCAAGTGTTTCTATGGTTGCAAAGATYACTCGTTTGATGTGTATTTTCCTTACAGGTATCACTTGATGTTCTTTTCTGTATTTGTTAAAGCGCTTAGTGGCTTTGCCCGGAGCAATTTTGAGACTAAATTGACGATACAGATAAGACAATGAAATGAAAACTAGAAGGAATGGATGGGAAATTAATGAAATGGGAATGAAAACATGGTAATGACTTTTCTCAGTGAATTTATTGTCTTGTCTTTAGGTAGCGACTTGTTTCTAGACCGTCTTGTACATCACTATGKCAGGAGCCTTCTACTCGTCTATACTCGACCATCATATCTCTCTCGATTGGACTTCAGCGGCAACGTTTCGGGGTTGAGCTCATTTTACGACTTGTAAGTATTCCTATGTGTACCCAGTTGTCCTTCCCATGATGCACTGAGCACCTTCAAAAAGAGCGAGGGAAGRGAGTGGGTACGACATCTTTTTGGCCTGTTATTAAGGAAAACGCGCCCTCCCTACAGATGATGGTGTAGAACACCGAAAGCTCGACTTCATTTAAAGTGTATTTAACATCTAACAACAGTATCTGGCCGCATTTGCTATAGATTACGCTCTCTCTCCATCTGCACTGATCAACTCAATGTACTCACTAGGGACACTCAGCATYATTTTGTATTTCTATCCATAGATACACTTCATTACTGACCCACTACTCTGCAGTSTCATTCGGAGACCCATTGTTTGCCAGCTTTCTTGTCCTCCCWTTGGCTCAAAGACATGACGTCAAGTTTCGACGTGCATTATGGGATGAGTTTGTAGGGACAATCAGGGCGGTTTCTTTTCCTGTTAAGCAGGTATCTATGGCAACTTAAACTATGACACTTTGAGAAGGTATCGTTCCTTTTGTTCCATTCTTCATTATTTCATTCATCCATTTATTTATCCCATTTTATTTCATTATTTAACAAATTRATTTGTTTTGGTCTATTCTTAATTACCTGACCGTACTGAATAACCTATACAATCCCCTACGATACCTAGAACTATACACAAAGTAAATTACAGGATTTAAAGCGCTATTTAGCATCACAAAATAAACAGACAAAAACCTAAACRCTTCATGTCGGCAAATATCAGGGATTTCATCTTTGTCAGAACAACGTAAAGCGTAGAACCAGTAGTTAAAATAGCAAAGATAAAAAGCTACGATGATGGCAGAGCTTGTTTTTAGGACTTTACGACTTGTTATTTCCCTTTGTCGCCCACTGATGCTTAACTTTCGCAGTGATTTTTTTCTTGTTGACATTCTGATTGCTATGGCGACGTAGCAGGAGAAGATTGTTAGTAAAGAAACGGAGGAAAGCCCGAGGTAAAAATGACGCCATGACTTAACGTTCCATGTCGAAGTCCTTGCATTGCAAACAACTTTATCGGCTTCTTCRACAAGCGAAGAGAAATAGAGCAATGGGGAATTGTACGCTAGAGCGATCGCCCATATRCCAAACAGCAGCCATTTTATCCCGCGCATTGTCAAAGTCTTTTTGAATGGGAACATAACAGCAGTGCAGCGATCAAAGGCAATCGCATCGAGTGTCAACAACGACGCCACTATTGACACCGCCTCGTTGAAGTTCACTAACTTGCACAATATAACCCCAAACGTTCCCATCATGACCCACTGATCGTTAGTGTATATACGGGTTATACGCTCTGGTATRGCGAATACCGGCAGGAGTAGGTCCGAGAAAGCAAGGCTKAGGATAAGACAGTCGTTGATACTTCTGTGTAAGTGTTTTGCTGTCCTGGTTTTGTAATAACAGACGATAATCAACRCATTACCAACAAGTGCCGTYACCATCGCAATCACGTAAGCAAGTGCTTTACTAGTTGTGACATAAGATAGTTCAGTGGCATCTGTGAGAGACGACACTGCTGTTATCTCGCCGATTGTTAAGTTGGCYGTTGCTGAGGAGTTGTTCATTTTGCGAAGCAAAAAAAATCGTTCCTCAATTGTATAGCTCTCGTTCAATGTCAGTCGAATTTGCTTTGTTTTTCCAAAGCTGTGTTCATACTGCTGTACAATTATTTGGTTCAAAACAACGGGTTTGATTGGATTAAAAGGGACAGTGTCAGTTGTGCGTCGATAGCCGAGTATCATATTGGAGACAACCGACGCCTCTGTACACCGAGTCCAATTATGTTATGAAATAAATACCTAATACATAGTCCTAATTATTTTTAATTATTTCGCCTTTTTCAATGATTCTATTTTTATTTTTCTCTATTTTTACTTGCGTGAAAAGATAACTCCAATAGTAGACTAGACTTTACAACTCCATTTTTATGTTTTCGTTTTTTGCCTTTTGCTTTGCGAAAAAAACATCTTTCAGATTCGTTTTTAAATTAATCTGACAACAGTTGTGCGCAAATCGTTGAAAAATCATCAAGAYGTCAGTTTATTATCCAAACCATCAAAATCTGATCTTTTTGTACCCAATACAGAAGCTCCTAAATATTTCCGCCTAACATCATCATGGCGCAGGTTCGCCATGTCAATGGTAATTGTCATGTCCTGTCGAGTTTCTTTTACTTTCTAAATTATTATTTCCATCGCGGTTTTGATGATTTATCGGTATAAAGTGGTTTCTTTTTTTTAAGTTCCGTTAATAAAATTTGATAGTCCTTCCAACCTTTTAATACAAAACCCATCCAAATCGCTTCGAACTAAAGTAACCAAGCAGTTTCAAATTTCAGAATCGAAAGAGGAAACAGTGACGAACAGAAATGTTTCTGCTCCTTCGTTTCTGTTTCTTCACTAGATCAAGTGTTTGTTTTATTTTTAGGTTCCCTTGCCCTTGGACCACTTCTTGTATCCCATTGAACAAGACGATGTTTTGCTTTATTTGTATTTACGAGCTTTGGCCAATCAAGATGCACGGTAAATAAGTCTAGTTAGCCTTCAAAATTTCAAAATTTACTGTCAAACTATCGCATAAACGCAATTTWAAAAAAAATCTCAATAAMATAGTGTTAAGCCGAATTAAGGCAAGCCTACTTCAATTCTTCGCAAAGAGAAAATAATCTTGCTATTTCGGTTTTTCTTTCAGACCCCGCTGGTGCCCATTCTTCTATCTGTTGGCGGTTCATCACGTAAATGCGTTCATTTATCAGCGTATTGATCCAAAGGTAATTGTAATATCTATGTGATGGTGTTCCTGGAGATTTTTTGGGTGGCTGTTTTGATTGTTGTGGTTAATATAGCAATGAAGATTGGAAGATTTTGATTGCGTTCAAGGTGTTGCTGCTGCTGTCGCTGTCGCTGATGATGATGAAGGTTGATGAAGATAAAGGTTTGTGTTGATGAATATAAAGGTTGTGTTGATGAAGATATAGGTTGTGTTGATGAAGATAAAGGTTGTGTTGATGAAGATAAAGGCTGTGTTGATGATGATAAAGGTTGTGTTGATGATGGTATAGTGAAGAGGTTGATGACAATGAATATTAGCAAAAAACGTTATTATTTTGTTAAAATATAATTATGATAATGATTGCAAATGATCGTCTATGAAGTGATAAAAATAATAAGATAAAACAATATATTTTTCACAGGATACTTTACTTCTGAAACGAAAACTTTCACTTCTCAGCCATGTTATGCAAGTCAAACTACAGGTACAATGAAAAGTTTCTACTCCCTGAACTCTTTAAAGCTATCAATTGACTAATATCTATTTTATTGTAGGACGTACGAACTGATATACTCTACTACTATAAGCCGCTCCCAGACTCCTCCTCGGATAAATCGTTTGAAGTCTTTTCCAGTCTCCCTCCAGACCGTGAAATATTACTAAGAAACAGACAGGACATCGAAGAGTGTAGAAAGCTTTACGAAAAAATGGCCAARTAGAAAATTAGTGGAAATATATGTCAAATTGATATTTATTATAATAAATTTAGAATATCAGTATTGTTCTTGTTGCTCGAATGCATTCCATTGTGGATTGTCAAACTTATAACATTATAAAAGCGCAACACTTTCGAAAGTCTCGGAAGGCGAGGAGGGTCACGTGCTCCCTGCCCCTCCTAAATCATATTAAAGTTCAATGAATTAAATTTAAGTTTTTATAGTTTTTAATACTAATCAAAAAATATATAAAATAAAAATGAAATATATTCTCGCTAAGCCCCTGTACCAAAAACCGTATTTGTCAACTTGGCCATGTAAAAGTGTTACTAGTAAGGACTGCGCAATATTTATCAGGAGGGGGGGCTGATTTATTATTCGTAAATAAAAAGAGTTGTCGCAAATCGTGAAAATATTTTTCTTGAGAAGTTCGAATCTGACACCGTTGATTTTTTTAGTTYCAAGAAAAGTTCTAGTTAATTTTAGACCCTCCTGATCAATATTGCGAGTCCTTAACGTTTTTTTTGTAGAGTGACAAATAGTAATTCTTTTTTTTGAATGATAAAATCAAATATTCCCACTWCTAGCTGTAGAATATATTTTCTCCTGGAAGGTCAAAGGTGAAAAAATCGAAATGAGAGAAATCTTCCAAAATACAAATTGTTGGCAAAAACGTAACAAAACCGAACAGAAAATTTTAAGAAAATCGATAGATAGTTTGGGTTAATATCAGCCCCGGAAAATAAAACAATGTTCAAAACAGTAATATATAATACTGGGAATATAAAAAGGTATAAATTTGATTCATGCCTTCTCAGTATAGTCTGGTATTCATGCAAAATTTCAAAAGTGAACTGAAATTATTCAAAAACGCTCTCTGATATTCACGGACGCTTCTTTGCCGCTGCCGACCTTTCTGGACTCTTTCTGTGTCTAGAAACATCCAGAAGTTCTGTGACTTTTGAAGTCATCTGGCATGTGACGCGGCACAAAATTATTCAAAAGCCGATGGACCAATGAGAGGTGAGCAAGTGTTCCGGCTTTCTMGAAGGATCTAGAAAGTTCCATACAATTTTAGAGATGACGTGGTCTTGGGGAGAGTCKACTTCCAACCAATCACAGTCCGAATATTTCAAACTGACCAATCACAAACAGCGAAAAGACCGGATTTCTAGAACAATCTAGAACATTCTAAGGCGGCTTAAAAATTTCGACATCCCCGTCACACGTGTAGTTTGCAGAAAATTCAGCGTTAGCGAGAGTTTYGTCTGTTTAGCCAGCAACTTTCAACTCCCAAGTCTTTGAAAGTACGATCACATCAAAATGCCTGACATCGAAGAAGTTCAACCTATGGACGAAGAGGCCGAAGCTGAAACCTTCGCGTTTCAAGCCGAAATTGCGCAGCTTATGAGCCTGATCATCAACACTTTTTACTCCAACAAGGAAATCTTCCTGAGAGAGTTGATTTCTAACTCTTCTGATGTAAGTACTTATCTTAGTRAATGGAAAGTTAACCTCAATGAAACATCCATAGAGATTAACCCGATCGATTCRATGTTTTTCAGAGTACACATCGGTTTGTCTTCAGTTTGACAGCCATGCTCAAAGCTCGATATTTTAATCGTGAGCCGGTCTGACGTAGTGACGAAGCTATTTTATGACTCTTATCTATATAACTGTAAAAGGGAATTCGTAGTTATAAAAAAGGATCTTTCGATCTTTGACTTTTCTTTAGAAAGGTCGACAAAATTGAACTTGGTTCCTCGCATCAACGGAAATGCCGGCGTCTCATTGCAAGGCAAGCCCAAACGCCGGTTCKAGATCAAACCTGATTTTCTAGATCTTTATGGAAAAGTTCTTTTACTAGATCACTMGAAAATCAAGATATTAACTCAGTACCTTGACACAAATACAAATCTTCAGTATTCGAAACGTCGTTTGAACAATTTTGATYGAATTTCGATGCCATTGCCCCAAAAGCACATGGCCGGCTTTCAAACATGTGCGAGCACACGACAAAGTTAGAATCAAAGAAAATTCTTTTCCTCAACCAATTTCAAAACAATGTTTTGACAAATAGAAATAATCATTATATTTRAAGTTCTGTAAAATTTTAAATCTCTGAATATTTCTGCTCGAAATTTCGCAATTGCTGATCAGACTCTAAATTCTCAATGAATGAACTAGTGCCAGCCCTCCGCAAACAAATTTTAAGTATTTTTTTTTTCTTTTTTGATTTTATTCATTTAGTTATCGAATKTAACATTAAATGATGCTATTTCATTAGGCCTTGGATAAAATCCGTTATGAAAGTCTCACTGACCCAACCAAGCTTGATTCCTGCCAAGACCTCAAGATYGAAATTGTTCCCAAYAAAGAGGAAAACTGCTTGATCATCCGTGATACTGGTATTGGTATGACCAAAGCTGACCTGGTCAACAATCTTGGTACTATTGCAAAGAGTGGCACTAAATCCTTCATGGAAGCTTTGAAGGTAAAATAATTATTCACAAGACATTTCTTTTCTTAGTTCTCAAAACTGTGTTACAGTTTTTCTATGTCGTGATATACTTCAAAGGTTATTTCTAAAGTATAAGCTTTCAAATTCATGTTAACATATAGATAGTGAAACCCAATACTAGGACATCTATTATGAAAACCATATAAATACGCAACCCCATACAAAAACACATGGAAGACAAAAGAAAGGAAAAAGAAAATTTAATATCTTTTTCAAACCAATTCAAAATCGGTATTGTATGAAACACTCATAGATATTTTTTTCTTTCTCTCTTTACAAAGGCTGGTGCAGACATCTCTATGATAGGTCAATTTGGTGTTGGTTTCTACTCTGCATACCTGGTTGCCAGCAAAGTAGTGGTACACACCAAGCACAACGATGACGAGCAGTATATTTGGGAATCAGCAGCAGGAGGTTCTTTCACCGTCCGTCGTGACACTGGTGAGCCACTTGGCCGAGGAACCAAGATTATGTTGTACATGAAAGAAGACCAAATGGACTACATTGAAGAGAAGAAAATCAAAGAGATTGTCAAGAAGCACAGCCAGTTCATTGGATACCCAATTGGCCTACAGGTAATGAGAGTGATATTTTGAATTGGTAATGCGGAGGTTGTCATTATAATTGATTCAAACCTGGGGAATGCAGTTGACTCAAATTAGAATAAGGTATGGATATGTAAACTAACTTTTTTTCTTTTTCCACAGCTTGAGAAAGAAAGAGACAAGGAGGTTAGCGATGATGAAGAAGAGGAGGAAGAGAAGAAGGAGGAAGATGCTGAGGAGGAAGACAAGGATAAACCAAAAATTGAAGACGTAGATGAGAATGAGGAAAAAGAGAAAGAAAAAAAGAAAAAGAAAATCAAAGAAAAATACACCGACTTGGAGGTACTGAACAAAACAAAGCCAATCTGGATGAGAAACACCGACGAAATCACCAATGAAGAATATGGAGAGTTCTACAAGAGTCTGACCAATGACTGGGAAGACCACTTGGCTGTAAAGCACTTCTCTGTGGAAGGACAGCTTGAGTTCCGTGCCCTTCTCTATGTTCCTAAGAGAGCACCATTTGATCTCTTTGAAAACAAGAAGAAAAGAAATAACATCAAGTTGTATGTTCGACGTGTGTTTATTATGGACAATTGTGAAGATTTGATTCCTGAATATCTTGGATTCATTAAGGGTGTTGTTGACTCTGAAGATCTTCCTCTAAACATCTCAAGAGAAATGCTTCAACAGAATAAAATCCTCAAAGTCATCCGCAAGAATCTGGTCAAGAAGTGTCTGGAGCTTTTCAACGAAATTGCAGAAGACAAAGATAACTACAAAAAGATGTACGAACAATTCAGCAAAAACATTAAACTTGGCATCCACGAAGACAGTGTTAACAGGGCTAAGATCGCAGAGTTACTGCGATACCACTCGTCCACATCAGGTGATGAAATGACCTCATTGAAAGATTACGTTTCACGCATGAAGGATAACCAGAAAGACATCTACTTCATCACTGGTGAAAGCAAAGAGCAAGTTGCACATTCTGCATTCGTAGAAAGAGTCAAGAAGCGTGGATTTGAGGTCCTTTACATGGTGGAACCAATTGATGAGTATGCCGTCCAGCAACTTAAAGAGTATGATGGCAAGAAACTTGTTAGTGTTACCAAGGAAGGTCTTGAACTCCCTGAAGATGAGGATGAGAAAAAGAAGCGAGAAGAAAAGGTTGCACAATATGAAAATCTCTGCAAGGTAAGGACTGAGTTGTTGAACTGATGGCCTTAAAAAGGTTGCAGTAAAAACTAGGAACTTGTTTTTCAGTCTTTTGGTTCATACCTTGTTTAAGTATCCATAGAAACAAGTTCTAGATGGCTAATCTTATGGAAATAGCTTTTATTTGAATTTTGAATCAAGTTGCTAATCAAGTTTTATACTTTGTAGATCATCAAAGACATCTTGGACAAGAAGATTGAAAAGGTAGTAGTATCCTCTCGTCTTGTCTCTTCTCCCTGTTGTATTGTCACAAGTCAGTTTGGATGGACTGCAAACATGGAGCGTATCATGAAAGCCCAAGCTCTGCGTGACAACAGCACCCTTGGTTACATGGCTGCCAAGAAACACCTAGAAATCAACCCTGACCAYGCTATTATGGAAACATTAAAAAGGAAAGTTGAAGAAAACAAGAACGACAAATCAGTCAAAGATCTCGTCATGCTTCTCTATGAAACAGCTCTGATGTCTTCTGGATTCACACTCGACGATCCTCAGGTCCATGCTGGTCGTATCTACAGAATGATTGGACTTGGTCTTGGTATTGATGAAGATGCTGAAGCTGAAGGTTGGTACAACATTAAAAATATTTTAAACAACACACTGAGAAAATAAACCATGTCTGTTCTTATTTGTAATCATTTCCATTGTTGTTATTTTCAGCTGCCACTGATGATGCAGTAGTTGACGATATGCCACCCCTTGAAGGTGATGACGCAGATGATGCTTCTAAGATGGAAGAAGTCGACTAAGTTATTCAAGCTTACAGATGCTAATAGAATGAACTATGCTGCATTGTTCGCTTTGCAACAAGTCATGCTCAACAGTTGAATTCAAAAAGCTCGAACATTCAAAAGTACTACAATTCAATAGTGCAATGGTCATATTAGATTTTTGTTAGGAAGTGTGAGGTTGTGCAATTTATATTCTGACACGTTTTTTTATATTATTTCGATGTCTGCTGTTTCATTTAACCCATAAGCATTATTACTGGCTGTAATACGAACATATCGCGCTTATAAGCATTCTGCATTCCTCAAAATTTAGTAAAAAGAAAAACAATAAAGATTCATAAGTTGATAAATTAACTGTAATTGATGTTTTTGTGTAAAGATATGGCAACATCACATGAAGGTAGAGTACAAACACTAAAACTGTGCAACATAAATACCACTAAATGCTCCTAAATTGTGCTAATTCTTTTGTTTTGTATTGTTTAATTAACACTATTTTGTAGTAAATAGTGGAAAGTGTTGCACACTTTTAATGTTTGTGCTCTAGCCTTTTTCAAATTATGGAAAATGGCCATAGTGGATACACTTTTTGATTTGAAGTAGATCCACTTTGTGAAAGGTGTATCTTGTACAATGTGATAAGTATTGCTTGTTAAGTGGACTACTATTTGCATGGCACTTCTGGTATTGATCTCTCAAATTGAAATGGCTTCACCTTTTGTGATGACTTGTTTAGTGGGAAATGGGTTTTGCTAAAGTATGACCTGAAGTATTCAATATACGTAGATCTCGTGAACTAGGAATGTATAATTGACTGACGTAAGTAAATGGACAAAAAAACGTGATATATCCCACTTCAACCATGCAAGTGTACAAGTTGAATAGTGTTATTTAGTTGTATTCAGTGAATTGTGAGTGTTGAATTGATACAAATGAAGCATTCAATGCTGTCCTGCTTCAGGTCCACTTTTCGCTGTTTTAAACCTCGTACAGTTTGCACACGAATTTTGCATATTACTTGTGAAACGGTAAACTTGCTCTTTAAAGAAACTTTTGAAAAAATTCAATCTGACTGAGAAAATCAGAGTTAGTTTTTGTACAGTTGCATGGTTTACGTGTGATCACTCGGGTAAAGTATGGAATCAGTAATAGCATGCATTTTCACTGCACTTGTCACACTGCATCAGCAAATACAGCTTGTGTGTACACACAGCCTCCCTTGGACCTGTCCCCTAAACTTTTATGCAGCCTTGGCCTCAATTGCACACAACTTCATACAGTAACTGCAGAATAAAAGAGCGCATTTCTTGCCCTGAAGAYYAACTGTATCTGATCTCGAAACAGGATTATCTGTGCAATAATCATCMTCTGGTAACCAGCACCACTCCCTTAAGAAAATTCCACCTCAGCAGCCTTCATTCTGTTGTGGCATCAGTGCACACATATGACATGTAGCATAGTTTTTCTAAATAGGGGACCTTGAAGGTCTAATATTGGAAAGCCTAGAGGCTGTAACTACAAGATTCACTAATTATTTTTTCAAAGACAAAAAGGACAGAAAGGGAATGTATGTATGATGCTTTTTATTGAAAAACTTGATGAATTCACCACAGGAACACCCTTGATCAAAAGTAGTCTTTATTTCAAAATACACCACCTACCTCATACAAAGATCGTTGTGGAAGACATATAAAAACCTGGGCCAAAAAAAATGCAATTTGGTGGGATTTTATATTGTGAGAATGCAATAAGAGTAGTGCCCCTGGGTGGGATGGAAGTTGCATAAGTGTACATAGCTCAGTTGGTCTATTAACATGGTGCTGGGTTGGTGGTCGACACATCGAACAACACACAAACATTCAAACACAGCTATTTTTATTGACATGGGATGACAAATGGCATACTTTCACCATTCTGGTAAAACATTGCACAGTGCTCAATACGTGTGACTGTAATACTAATGTCTTCATCACACAGCAAGTTTGATAGTGGAAAATGTCCCAATAAATATTCTCTTTATCAAAACTATTAAATATTTACAGTGTTAGCAAATAAAAATGAATTCATTGTGTCTACAAATGTCAAAAATATGTTCAATGTTTGTGGAATAACAATTATGATGCAAAACACACCGAATTTAGGTTACCAACTACAAGCACAAAAGCATGCAACATAATATTAGTTCCACATATTAACTTTCTAACTAACAAGAGAAATAGAGTCTAATGTCAAACAAACAAAACCAAGGATAAGTTATTAATGTCTCAGTGGAGAATCTTTGAATTTTTGCGTTTTACAAACTTCATTCTTGTAAATAAACAATATTGTCAGTTGGTTCAGCTTTAAATTTTGTGCTAGGGTATTCGCATGGTAGTATGTAGAAAACAATGACATTCTGGTAATTGTAGCACATACATGATAACATGACTTTTGCCATAATTTTCAAGGTCTAAATTATTGGTAATTTGAGAAAAATGTTGCATGCTTTTGCAGCTGTTCATGCTTATTTGATGATTTCTCTATAAATTAAAATTTCTCTTAAATGTACAACTTGAATGATAACAAATATTATATTCTTGTGGTGGGTAGCTACAAATTAGATGTCAACAATGTTAAATATGACAACAGCATGAAAGCTTGGAATGATTATAATCAGTTTATAATGTGCTGATCAGATCAGAATGTTTCAAATATCATTAATTTCCCTTTTTTTCCACCTCCAACTCAACAATTTGTAATCCTAAATTTGTGGGAATTGAAATGTATGTTATATGTGCAGAATAATGAATATAAGAATGGGAAAAGTGGGTACCATTAAAAAAATGAATAACGGAAGAGATGGCGAGAAATGAATAGAGGACATGACGTGGTTTGACAGTTGTTTATTATATGTGCATATGGATGTACATGGATACATTATGCAATCATTAGTGGCAAACAGTTAATTTACAATGGATGAAAAATGGTTATGATCAAATGTTCTTTTGTGGATTGCAGGTTCTGATTAAATGTACTAGAATGGCAAGAATAAATATATAATCAATGCAGATGGGTTGAGGAACAAAACATTCTCATTTAAGAGGTGATTTTCAACAAGACCAGACTTGAGGATTTCACAATCATCAAAATTCTAGTTCTACATCTATATCATCACTTCAGCTCGAAACAAACATGCAGTAAYGTCTTACGCTAGACACCTATTGAACTGAAATAATGTGTTATTAGAACTCTGATCAACAGGAAGATTTGAAAAATTTACATTTCTAAAAATGACCTCACACAAATACTGTTATGGTTATTAAAAAACTCTTTTTTGTAACCAATGAAGAATTGCACAAAATTGTTGAAAATCAACCTCTCTTTTCTCTGTGAAGTAATGTTGACAATATAAGATTATAGTGGACTGTACTGATGGTATGAATTAATCTGGTATAGATTAGATGGTTATAAAGTAATAATAAAGCGAAAACAGTGTGTGTGTCTTAATAAATCTACCATTAAATGGTTAATATTGACTGCCAAATGTACAATCTGTAGAATATCAACTATCCAAAGCTCCTATCAGCTTGACATCATTACTCTATTCTATCCAAAGTGGAAATATGCCAAAAAATGAAATACATCCATACACTGATAAAAGGTACATTAATAAGTGATGTCAATAAATCACTATTAAAAATGCAACCTGAAGATGAGCTCGTGGGCTTAAAACATCACTTTCAAACGTAGCCTAAATAGAATTTTTTTTTGTACACAAGTCTGGCTAAATACAATTCCAATATTCCTTAGGGGATTATCTATAGTGGCTTGCTGCCTGTATTCGCCATGGTAAGCTATTAAACTTTCATAACATTTAAGACAAAGTGAAATATCCTTAGTAATGGAACAGTGACTGCATATCTCTACAATATAGAATTATTAATAATGAATGTATGCTTCACATGATCAGTGAATATTAAAATATCAAATGCGCACATGATGGGGACATGAAAATGACCATGCAAAGTGAGCCAATCGTAGATGAATGTTTAGTTCAAGATGGTGCACAATTTACGGTGAAAATGAGTTTTTTACTGGTGAAATATTAAGGTCATTAATAGTTCATAAATGCAGTGATTAAGAAACGTTATTACAGATCTCCACGACATTATGAAATGGACTTCTATTCAATGTTCATAAATGGCCTGTGGCTTTGGGAATAATGTGTTGAATCATGGAATTCATCATAGTTCACAGCATGGCAGACGAAAAACATCGAGACAAAATTCAAAATCATGACACATGTTGTTAGTCCGTATAATTTAGCATCAAATATACATCTTTTGACCAAACCAATGTGTTAAAAGAAAATGTTAAAAAAATGCCTTTTTAAGGATCTTCAGTGCATAAAAATGAATGTATTATTTTTCATGTCCTTTTTCAATTTATATTCAACAATTCACCACCGTTCCTTCATTTTCATTTCCCCCTTGAATTGACTTTTGTTTGCATTCATCATGTAGATCAATTTAATATTTTACTATTTTGTTTGATCCTAACAGACCATAATTTATGTAGTGTGTGAGTTGACACTGGGGGGTTGTGGGTTGACTAACCGTTCAGCCTCAACCTGCTGTAACCGTTGAGTGATAAGAAAATGTGCAAGTTGAGCAGCTTGTACATCGCCGGTTATGACCACCTTACGATTATTAGTACCCGGCACAAACTCTCCCTTCTGAGAAACCTGAATCCTAGCCCCACTATACTGCATTAGCTCATTGATGGTTTTACCACCCTTCCCTAAGATGGCCCCAATTAATTCGTCTGGTACAGTGATTTCAAGTGTAGCAGATGATTGAATACTGGTGCTTGTGGTGGCTGTGCTTGGGGGTGATATCCCAAGGGCACTACTTAGTGGATTACTCCCACCCATGAGGGCGGCTTGTGCAAGAATGTGGTTGGCAGTTGATGTTCCCTGTGTGCCCTGACTACCCGGAGTAGTACCTGGTAGGCCAATTCCCCCAAAACCAGACAAGGTTCCAAGTTGAAGATTGGTGCCAAAATGGCCATTAGCGTGTCTTTGACTTGTGAGTCCTGTGTACATGATGTTATTATTTAGCGCGTGTTCTGGGTCTTCTTGTACTTTCGCAGCAATTATAGAGCATGCAGCTTGGACTTGCTCTTCTGTTCCACTCACGTTTACGATCCGTTCACCGGCGACACTGTCTGCATCTTTTTGTGAAATCTGGATTCGTGCTCCTGTTTGTTCACTGTAGGACTTTATAGCTGAGCCTCCTTTACCAATAATCATACCTGCTGTAGAGTTAGGAACTACTATTTTCATCTGTTTTGCCCTTTCAGTGTCAAACTGGATGTTAGCATTCATCTTTGCCTGCTGCGGTTCTTGCCGGATCTTGTCAACTACAAAGTTTAACATGGTGATGATGTTTTCTACCTCCCCGATGATGAGCCCAATGCGCTCTTGGGTTCCTGGGTAGTAGTGGTTATTGGGGGACAGTTTGATTCGAGCACCTGTACTTTGCTGCACCTGGGCAATGTTTTGCCCACCTTTGCCAATAATGGATCCGGCTGCATAGTTTGGTACAAGAACCTTGAGAATTGGACTCTTGGCAGCTGTAGACGACAATGAATAAGTCTGTTAGTACTGTATGGTGACGGCTGTAGAGTCATTACTTCAAAATTTGTAATATAGCAATACAGATAATAGAGTGCATACATTTAATAATCTGTAAATTCAAAATAGCACAACTTGGAACTAATTCTGTCCTTGAAGTGAACATCCTTTGAATGGCCATTTGTTCTTGTATGGACACTATTTATTACGAATTGAAAAACATACCACAAACAACTACATGTAAGTACAATTTTATGGATTCAGTGTTTTCAATCTTTAAGAGCACTGATATCAATAGTTTAATTTATCCACTGTGTGTTGTTTCATCAGCACAACTTGCAACTAGGTAAAAAATGTGCTAAACTATTACTATTTAAAATCAATGATAATAATTATGATGTCGGATAGAATGATGATGATTTAACAGTASAGTGATATATTATAACTAAGAATGATAAGAACAAAGATGATAAAATGCTGTTGATGATAATTCAAGATAATAAAAATAATGCTTTAAAGGGACACTGTCAATGGATGACATGCACAGTAACAGTCTCACCTCTAACGGACTTTGAAAGTACAGTATTACCTTTGAGGTAAATCATTTTGTGGTGATTTTGACACACTTTGGAATATTCTAGATCTGTTTATGTTTACGATCTGATTTATGTCGCGCCAACTTGGAGTCATAAACTTGAAAACACTAGCCTAGTGTTTTCAAGTTTACTCGCGCATGTCATCCATTGACAGTGTCCCTTTAAGCACCCTCTTTTTATAAATCAAATTGTATTTGTTCAATTTATGTGCACAGAGAATTTCCAATTCAAATTTTGATATCAATTATGCTTGGATATCATATTCTACAGCTGTCATGTAAATCAATGTCTACTGTTGTACACAGAACTCTTAAACACTTGTCATATTAAAATGAAGTCTTTCAAATGAAAGAAAAAAGGAATAAAATATTTTACAATATTTTAAACAGTATTTTACAATAAAGTAAACCATAAAAAAAACATT